AGATGGTTGCGCCTGGGTGGCTCAGCCGGTTAAGTGTCCGACTTCAGGTCATGATCTCCCGGTTGGTGAGTTCAGACCCGGCATCCGGGTCTCTGCTAACAGCTCGAGCCTGGAGCCTGCAGCCTGCTTCAGATTCTGTGTCTCCCTCTCTTTCTGCCCCTCCCCTGCTCTCGTTCTGTCTCTCTAAAATAAACATTAAGAAGAGGAAGAGACGCCAGGAGGGCACACAGAACAAGGTCCACAGAGGACACAGCGAGAAGGTGCCATCTGCCAGTCAAGGAGAGGGCTTGCCAGAAACCAACCAACCCCGCGGGCACCTTCATCCGGGAACTGCAGCCTTCCCAACCATGGGAACAGGATTTGCTTCTGCTTAAGCCTATCAGCCCGTGATACTGTTAAGGAAGTCCTGGCCCACTCGAGTAAGGGTTGCGAATTATCTGCTACAAAACATGTAACAAAATAGCCTCCCTGAATTGTTTTCCAGATCGCAGCCCCCGCTGGCATTCAAACGATTTCTCGCATAAACATAAGCCACAGTGAAATTCACTTAATGATCAGTTTCTATCAATCTATTTTTTTTTTTCTCCTGCCCCCTCTTACCGCGGAACGGTAACATCGGAAGCACTAAGCACCTGGAATTTACGCCTTACATGAAGGCGTGACTTCAGTAATTGCAAATGATGCACAGCTCCTTCGTGTAAGAAAGATGCTGTGTGGTCATAGCTACTTTCAGCAGTCGTCAGATTCAAGTGGCCTGGCATATCACGCTGCGGCAATGCCAGGAGCATGGCTCTGACACGTGGCAATTTTAGTTAGGCAAATGGGAAATGTGAAAAGATGCCAACGGCCCGGCCTCTGTTTAAAGCGTACAGTGCTGCCCAACTCAAGAAAACGACCTCATGTGTTCAGTTGCCATAACCAGCCCACGGTACGGCATGCTGGATCACAAGGACTTCTGGGAGCACAATCCCAAAGAAGGGACTACCTTTCCCAGGTCACAGCATTTCACGAATCCAATACGGTGGTCTCTGATACAAGAAAATCATGCCCTTGTTGGAATCATGTACCACTCTTGTGATAATTTACACTCTGAAAGTTGTGATGTAAGTAATGAATCAAAACATTGTGGATTTCATGGCGGGTTTATAATACTGCAAGATAGTTTGCAGAAATTCATCTGGATTCTAAAAGAACGGAATTTCTGCACTTAACATTTCCTCTTGTAAGCTGTTGAAATTTAGTAACGCAGCAGAGCAACTGCGTGCATATAAAACGTGGCTCTTCTTTATTCTGGGGTTGATCTAAAACCAGGCAGAGTTCTAACACACAGAAAGCTTCAAATTCTATCTCAAGGAGATTCAACAGCGTTTAATTTCTTTTTCCCCAATGGTATAGTTCTTTTGCACAGAGGATTGCACATGTTTTATTAGACTCATTCCTAGGAGAGTAGTACTTAAAACAATTTCTTTTTACTGTTTATTTCTGAGAGAGAGATTAGAGGGCAAGTAGGGGAGGGGCAGAGAGACAGGGAGATAGATAACAGCATCTGAATCAGGCTCCAGCCTCTGAGCTGTCAGCACAGAGCCTGACGCGGGGCCTGAACTCGTAAACTGTGAGATCATGACCTGAGCTGAAGTTGGGCACTTAACCGCCTGAGCCACCCAGGCGCCCCAGGAAGGCAATACTTCTTAATGCTGCTATAAATGGTGATGTAGCAGGCAGAACAATGGCCCCCCAGAGATGGCCACCTCCGAATCCCCAGAGTCTGTGACTGTATCAAATTACACGACAAAAGGGACTTAAGGTTTGCAGATGCAATTAAGGCTGCTAATCAGACCGTCTTAAAAAAGAGAGATCATCCAGTGGGCCCAATCTACGTGAAGATTCGGCCTCTTTGCTGGCTCCGAGGACAGAGCAAGGGACTCACAAGCCAAGGCACGCAGTAGCCTCTAGGAGCTGGGAATGACAGAGTTTACATCCATCCAGCAAGAAACCAGCTCTGTAACCACAAGGAACTGAATTGTTCCAATGAAGCCAAACAAACGGGAAGTGGCTTCTCCTAGAGCCTCCTGAAAGGAATGGAGTCCCGAGGACATCTTGATCTTAGCCTTGAGACCCACACCTTTGCAGACACTGCAACCTAATTTGACCGTTACCCACAGTGTGGTGGGAAATCACAGCAAGGGTTATGAACAGGGCGTGTGATGGAGCCAAGCTGCAGCTGTGGGAGGGACTGGCGGAGGGCCCGTGGCGGGAGAGGAAGGGAGGCGAGTGTAGCTGGGAGAGGATGAGGTCTGAGATGGTGGTAGATGGCGGTGGAGGTAGACAGACTCCAGACTGAGTGGAGGCAGAGCTGGTGGGCTCGGCCGATGCACTGGATGCGGATGTATGGCAGCACCAAGCGGGGATGGTTCCTGGGTGTCTGATTTGAACTCCGTGAGCAGCGATACCAGTGGCAGAAATGAGTCAGCCTGGGGCGGGTGACACACTTTGGGGTGCGTGTGGGCGACTAAAAAATTGTTAACACGCCAAACTTGAGAGATGAGGCACCTGAACGGAGATCACAAGTGGGCAGAGGTGGGATTTTCTTTTTCTTTTTTTCCTTTTTCCTTTTTAAAAAACCTTTATTGATTAAGTAATCTCTACTCCCAACATGGGGCTCAAACTCACGACCCCAAGCCCCGAGACCAAGAGTCGCACGCTCTGCCCACCCAGGCGGCGAGGTGCCCCAGCCAGGTGTGTTTTTTAGCCTAGAGTCTGGGGGAGAATCTGACCCGTAACCACACAGCTGGGGACCATAAGCACGTAGATGTTATTTCAAGGCACTGAGAACGTGAAGAGAGCCCACAACAGCCCTGAGAAACACGGACATTTAGACGTGGGGTACAGTGGGCGGAACACAGCAGAAAGTGCTGACTCCATGCTTGTATACATACATACATATTACATATATATTTAACTTTTTAAAATTTATTTTTGAGAGAGCGAGCGAGCGAGCGAGCGAGCGAGAGAGCGCGTGAACAGGGGAGGGGCAGAGAGAGAGGGAGACACAGAACCGGAAGGAGGCTCCAGGCTCGGAGCTGGCAGCACAGAGCCCGACGCGGGGCTCGAACTCGTGAACCGCGAGATCATGACCTGAGCCGAAGTCGGACGCTTAACCGACTGAGCCCCCGGGCGCCCGGTATATAAAGATGGGTGGTAGGGGAGCATGTCTGTGGCGATGACAATCCTGAACAGGAGGGACTGACAATTTGGGAGAGGGATGAGCAAACCATCAAAATCTGAGACAGCGGAAGGGGCAGACGGCAGGGCTCAGGCGCGGGGTGCGGCTTCTGGCAGGAGGAAGTCAGTGCGGACGGGGGTAGGCTGGCCTGCTTGGTTGGTGCAGGGAGGAGGGGGCTGACGTCTGCCGCCTTCAACTGGCTCAGTGAGTCATGAAAAGGGCGGAAGAGGGGGTGTGGAGGGTGCAAGGTGTAACAGCTGACGTGGGGAAGAGGAAACGTAACAGACTCAAAGTCAGATCCGCTGGTGATGCCGTGTCTGTGTGAGGTTGACGTGAAACCAACCAGCCCAACTGTGTGGTTTTCTAGAAATATTCGGCTCTTAGGTGCAGGGAGGAGGCAGATGGCAGGGCTCACGGAGGTGGGGGGTCCTGGACAGGGAAGGGCCACCGCGGGAGAGGATGGAGAGTGGAGGGTGTTCGGAAGAGAGGGGCCGGGACCAGGGACTCCGACGGCTTGCGTGATCCAGGAGCCAGCTGACTAGGTGCCTTGCTGGCTGTGCTCAGAGAATTAGCACTGCGGCCTGTATTTCAGGAAGTGGGCTGGAAATGGTGCTCGGCAAGCGCTAGGTTGTGCAGCCGGTGAGAACACACGTCCGAGTCTGCACTGTTCCCTCCGCATCGTGAGCTCCCAGCGGTGCCTGACTCGCTGCGTGCGGGTGCGGCCGGCACATGTTGAAGACAATCGGCACCCGGGTGTGTCTAGGCCGCTCACCTTCCCCCCTCTCTGTTGGGAACAGCATCTACGTGGGGGGATAAACTGCCAAAAAACGTGCTTATAGAGAAGCGCAGGTGCCCAGGACCGGGGTGGGCACTCCAGCACCGCACAGGCCAAGAGTGCTCCAAAGCATCGTACTTGTTCGCTGCTCTTGTTTCCCATGGGACCTGGGGGGGGCGGGGGGTTGCCCTCGCTCTGGGTCTACTCTCCGTCCTCCACGTCCTTCCAAGTACAGGCCCTACACGGTTTCCTCTCTTGCTCTTTTCTGCCTCTAAATTGGGGCTGTTTCCAGACTTCGGCCCTCACTTCCAGGGGGCGGCCAGACGGGCCCTCGCGCGTCTTCTGCCTGTTGTTCTTGTGCCATCAACCAGGGCCCTCTGCAAAGTGGGCACACCCCGAATCAGACTCCCGGCTCCCCTCACAGTCTCCTCTTCTCCTGGACCTGCACGTGACATGTACAGTCCACCCCGCCCTTCTTCTTCTTCCCTATTTATGGACTCGTGGAGGGGCGCCTGGGGGGCTCAGTTGGTGAAGCATCTGATTTTGGCTCAGGTCATGATCTCACGGTCTGTGGGTTCGAGCCCTGCATCAGGCACTGTGCTTACAGCTCGGAGCCTGCTTTGGATTGTGTGTCTCCCTCTCTCTCTGTCCCTCCCCTGCTCATGCTCTGTTTCTGTCTGAATAATAAACAAACATAGATTTAAATTCCTGGACTCGAGTATGTTAATAGCAGTGTTTGGCAAAGGTTAACATTGTATGGTTTCCTATATTTTTGAGGTGACAGGCATGGAGGTAATGGAGAGAAAAAGTGAAAAATAGAACTTCTAGGGGCACCTGGGTGGCTCAGTCAGTTAAGCGTCCGTCTTCGGCTCAGGTCACAATCTCGTGGTTTGTGGGTTCAAGCCCCACATCAGGCTCTGTGCTGACAGCTTGGAGCCTGGAGCCTGCTTCCAATTCTGCATCCCCCTTTCTCTCTGCCCCTCCCCTGCTCATGCTCTGTCTTTCTCTGTCTCTCAACAATAAAAAATGTTAAAAATTTTTTTTAAATAGAAATTGTACAAAAAGTACCAAAGGTTATTGTAAAACCCATAGCCCAGGCAATTAGTCACCGTGAACACACAGTAGTGGGCTGCTTCCTCGGAGTCTGTTTTCCCTCTTTGCTCACAGGACACTGATTCTTTGCACTGGGATACCTACCTCTCAGCCACTCAGGGCACACACGGCTAAACCCTAGCTCCAGAGGGGAGCTTGCACTGAATACCATCCTACCTCCTCGGTTCCGGCAATGTGTCAAGAGTCGGGCCCAAGCTCTAACTCAGGCACCAGGAACAAAGCCTAGGACTTAAGAGCAATAGGAAGAGGTCTGTTTTCCTTTCTCTGGATGAGGATCACGTCTGCGGGCACGGGTGGGAGGTGAAGGGGCCGCCGTGTGTGCACCGAAGAGAAGTAGGCGCTGGTGGGGGGAGAGCAGAGACTCCGTAGGAAACCCCATCTCTGGGGACTCCGAGTGGCCAGACCAGTTCTTGAGTCGAATGGTCGCCTCTGGCCTTTCTTTCGGGCTTGAGGGCTCCCGGAATCCGTAGATTTACCCGGTCCACTTTCTAGCACTTGCAAATTGAGAGTTCCAACCTGTAAATCCACAGTCCCACTGTCCCAAGAAAACTGCTCACAAAACTTGGGGTTTGATTTCTCCCATGTTTTAATGCATCCATGTACACACAATTTTTTTTTTCACTTTTACAAAACTGAAAATATATACTCTTCTGAAATGTTTTAATTCTCTTTACCTCTTTTTACGGTAACCCAATCGATCATGTTCATTTCAAATTACTGGATACTATCCCATTCTAGGAATATGCAGTAACAAGTTCCCATCAAGGAACATTTACATTTTTTTGTTTTTCAAATTACAAAGATGCCATTGCGAGGCACCAGTCCTCTGATTTCTAGAAGTGAAATGGCTGCATCTTACATCACATACATTCTTAAGGCTCTGAGGTCTTTCCACCTGTTCTCTGGAAGGACCGTGTATTCCCGTCAGCGTGGAGATGGGCATGTCTGCCGGGCAGGAGGGGACACAGGGACAATGCTGTGACAATGGGTTGCTCAAGGGGACTAGTCATGCGTTTGCTGCACATTTACGAGTGTCCCTTATGCACCACGCTGGGAAAGGTGCTGGGGATATGCTGGTGACTGGACTCCCACGCTAGTCCCTGTATTCTTCCTTCTCCAAGTCCGGCGGTGGTGGGAAACGTCTAGCTTTGTGGATGAATTAACCGACAGCACACTTGTGACGTCACATAGAGGACATGGGAGGGGACGCTCTGGAGACAGTGCGGTTCCGGCTCGGCACAGACGATGTCACCACACGGACGCTGTTCACCCACGCTTTCCTATGTCCTCCCTGGCATGGGCGTGGCTGGAAGCCTGGAGGCAGGGTCGGGAGAGGGGCTGCCCTGGGGGCGGGGTGGGGGGGCACTCGGGAGAGGCCAGCAGGCCGGAGCCAGGCAGCAGCCGCCCTGTTCCCAGGAGACAAGGGTCCCGCTGGGGCAGCGGCAAGAGACAACCCGGAGCTGCAGGAGCGGGACGGGGACGGGGCCCGCTGGGGGCCCGCGGGGCTGCAGCCGCCTCTCCGCAGTTACCCGCTGCTCGGGAATCCCGCCTTCCCCCCGTTCGCTCCTTCGATCCTGTTTAACGACGTGCTGACCTAAGTCCCTAGGTTGAATCCTTCTCTGTTTGAACTGCCTAGAGTGGTTTTGCTTTCCTGGCGGACGGAACAGCCCAACACTTAAAGCATCCTTGAACTCCCGTGAGGCGTGAGCTGTGCCTTAGACGCACACAGCATCTCTCCGTAAACCTAACAGAGTCAGATCTTCTGGAAGCGGTGGAAAAGTCTGCTGGGTTTCTGTTCTTGTTTTTTTCCAATCAGACACCAGGTGAATTCAGTGGCTCTGAGAACACATCTTGTGAGCAGATACGCACCCTGGAGCACTTGACTCACTCAGGGAGAGGAAGCCCGCTGACGAAGGCAGGCGCGTGCAAAGCGAAGCCAGTCTGGGAGGCCAGCGGATCCACACCCCCGTTAGTGCTCACCTAACACTCGCGTACGCTGAGAACACAGAACCACCATGGGAAGACAGAAAGCAAACCGGTAGGCACGTGAACTGAACCTGGTCGCGTCCCCCGTTTTGCGGAGCGTGCATACGTTGAAATCCACACCAGGAAACGCTCACGGGACGGACCTCCACCCTCTGCTGCCATGAGAGGAACTCGGGAGACTGTTTTATAAGAACCGTTCGTTGTGATGATTTTCAACGGTGCAGAAGAATTATATCAACTCCTACGCGCCTCTTTCTTTGCACGCTCCGACGCGCTAGAGCATGGACGTGCGAATCGCTTTCGAACGTTCCAGCACACAAGGTATCATTGTCTTTCCCTTCCCCTTCCTGTGGCCGTGACCCCTTCTCTACTAACCATCAATCCTGAAAATAGCTTCTCTGCCCCATGCAAGGAAACGCAGCCAAAGCTGGAGAGTCTTTCCCCTTAACTCTGCCCCTCCCCATCTTCCCCCTCACTGTTGTCGTCACAGTAGAAGATGTCTCTGAGCAGGAAGACGGGCCTGGGCGTCGCGGGAGTCTGGATTTCAGCACCTTTCTTCTCCATCTTCTTCTCTAACTTTTCCTTAAGCAGAGGCAGACTGGTCTCGTAAAGGTAGTCTATGATCTCTAAAGAAAAGAAATTGAATTTTGAAATTCTGTGTACACAGCCTCCCGGCCAAGGTCAAAGGGGAGGGGGCACGGATGCAGGTAGCGCTCATGGTCCTGTCCTAACCGGTTTACTGAGATTCGCCAAACCGGCCCCCTCAAAATCCTACAAGGTGGGCACTACCGTCAGCCCATTCTTCAAGTGAGGAAGCCAAGGCATGAAGACATTATGGATCTTGGCCAATGTTCACGGGGTTTGTAGGGGTGAATGAAGCCAGGATTCGAAACCAGGCCGCAGTGTCTGCTGACCGCAAGAAGTTATTCACTATACACTCCACGGCGCGGCATCACCCGAACCCGTGGCTCCAGAACGTGGGTGCTGGGCAGACCACTCGAGGTAGACCACTGTAAGCTTGTTCGAGAAAAATCTAGCCTCCAGACCCAGCCCGGAGGTTGGGATTCAGTGTGTGTGGGATGAGGCCCTGGTATGTGTTTTTACCAAGTCCCCACAGGACTCTGATGGCCCGAGTTCACACCTAAACCACTCACGAATGGCCGCACGGAAGGAACTCAGCACCTTGTGTTTTTTCTGGAACTGTGTGTGCACACGCCATGTGATATGCACACACAAGTACGTGTCACGTGTGCGTGGGAGCACGTGATGGGGACCCAGAAGCGCTCACGGCTATTGAGTGTTTGCTAAGCTCTGAGCACCCTGGTGACCACAATTCATCTATTATCTCATTTCATACTTTTGTTAAAAAAATGTTTTTTTACATTTGTTTATTTTTGAGAGAGAGAAACAGACTGAGCACAAGTGGGGGAAGGGCAGAGAGAAGGAGACCCACAATCTGAAGCAGGCTCCAGGCTCTGAGCTAGCTGTCAGCACAGAGCCCGACATGGAGCTCGGACCCACAAACTGCGAGATCATGACCCGAGCTGAAGTCGGACGCTTCACCGACTGAACCCCCAGGCATCCCATCATTTAGTACTTTTGAAAGTGCTATCAGGTGGGGGTTAGGATTTGATAATTTTTACCATTTGACAAACGAATAAACTGAGGCTCCCAGAAGTTAAGTCACGTGCCCGGGGTCACATGATCAGCACGTGCTACCATCTGCTGGGTTCTTAACAATTCGAACACAGTACTGGGAATACTGACCTGGAAAAGTCTTCTTCTGCCAAAAGGGAACACAGGTAGCTTTCAGCTTATAAAATTTGCTTTGCACGTAGGATGGCGGCACATCACTTTAGAAAGGAAAAGACAAAAAAAAAAAGCATCAGTTTAAAAACTGGTCACTTCCCTTCTATGTACAAAGTACAGAGTCAGTAGAATCTGCAGACATAAGTAACGTTCTTAATCCTGAACACGAAACCATCATGTCTATAAACGTGTGATAAAAACACGACATATATGAGAAGGTGTCGTTCATCTGGTTGAAGAGAACACACAAAAAACACACACAAAAGGAAGAAAGTTGATAGCACAGGATGGATGTTGTTTAAATGACAAGAATTTCAGTCACTAGTCAGGAAACACAAAGCATAACACCAGCTAACATGTGCTGACGCTCACCTCGTACTGGGCCCCGCGCAAAGAGCTTCCCATCTACCAACAAACCATCTGCCCGGCCACTCTATGAGGAGTGGTCTGTGCCTCATTCTGGAAATGGGGAAACTGAGGCACAGGAAGTTGCCCAAGATCTTACAGCTACTAAGGGGATAGAGCTGGGACTTCAACCAGGTGGTCTGACTCCGAACCCCACAGTGTTTTTTTTTTTTTAATGTTTTATTTATTTTTGAGAGAGAGGTAGAGACAGCGTGAGCAGGGGAGGGTCAGAGAGAGAGGGAGTCACAGAATCGGAAAACAGGCTCCAGACTCTGAGCTGTCAGCACGGAGCCTGACGTGGGGCTCGAACCCACAAACCATGAGATCATGACCTAAGCTGAAGTCAGACGCTTAACCGACTGAGGCCCCCAGGTGCCCTGAGAGAATCTTAAGCAGGCTCCCCATCCAGCACCTGCACGCTCTCGTTCTCTCTCTCAAAATAAATAAATTTTAAAAAAATAATGAAGTGAAAATCATTAACTTTACTTCCTGGACACTTTTTCTTAGACAAGAACAGCCAGACTTATTTGTTTCAGTCAGAAGCTAATCTAGTAGCTGAATTAGTGTCGCTAAGCACTGGGCTCCCCAAGCCCCCCAGGCACCACCACCCTGGTCCTCCCTACGGTCCTATTAAACCATTTTGTGGATGAGAAAACCGAGGCTCAGAACAAGTTAAGGAACAGCATTTCCAAGGACAGCTAACAAATGAGGACCAGGACCCAAGGCCAGGGCAGTCTGACCGCGAAGCCCACATTCTAAGGCCCCACGCCGCCCTCCCCCTACAGTGCTGGGCGCCCGCAGGACATTCCGCGGACCCAGCCTCGGGCTCGGAAAAGTCACAGTAACGGATCTGGGTGTTTTCAAATGAAGTAGACATTAGCTCTCAACAGGGGACACACTTTCTTTCCATCCTGCCTCAATAGTTCACAAAGGAGGCTTTAAGACTCTGGAGAGACTGAACTTCTAGATTGCTTCTTTTAAGAAGAATAAATGGTTTTAACTGCTAAAGCCTGGAGAACGTACGTACTATTTCAAACGGCATCTGGCTTGATGCCACAGTTTCTATTTTACGGCTTTGACGTTTATTCACCTTAACTAGAACGATTCGTTTCTTAAACACATAATTTTACTTAAAACCACTCAACGCCCATTTTAATGTGAGAAAATCGTGACCTGAGGTGACATCATACAATACACAAAAATTTATAGGCAAAGTCAAATTTTTCAGAAACCGGGGTGTTTTGCGGCCGTGAGTGCTTCTCAGAAGGGTGGCCGGCGGGTCCGGAGCCAGGTCCCCTCCGTCAGAGCACCTGACGCCCGCCTCTCTCAGGGACAGTGGGTGGCCCAGCCCCAGGTGCACTGGGAGAGGGAGGGCTGGGGAACACCACGAGGGTGTCTGTGACCCCTGGCGGCGTCTGTCAGGACACGCTCCCATTCTCCAAGTTAAAATACCCAACCTGATGCTTCCTTGTCCTCTATCGACAATCCCGAGGGACACGTAGGTGCCAGAACCGGTTTCAACCCTTCCTCGTGGATCAAGAACAGCGTCACGCTTCTGAGAATCCGCCAGGCGGCAGCTCCGCCCCCACCGCCCACCCTTCTGAAACTAAAGGCCACACAACCCCGAACGCCCCTACTTCGGAGAGACCTATTCCTGGACCCCAACTTGTAACCATCTGCTCTACTTACAGGGACTGTGCTCTGCAGACTGGCTCCCCCACTGTGCAAGCAGTAAATTCAGATATCGGAATGGTGGCCTCTGCCTTCAGTAGCACAAAGGGACTCAAAATGTACGGTTGATAGGTAATAAAAGCTCAAAGCAAAGGCAAATGGAGGCAGCTTACGAACACAGGAAAGTCTGGGGGATGCCTGAGAGGCTCAGTCGGTGAAGCGTCCAACTTTGGCTCAGGTCATGATTTCACGGTTCGTGGGTTCGAGCCCCACGTCGGGCTCTGTGCTGACAGCTTAGAGCCTGGAACCTGCTTCTGATTCTGTGTCTCCCTCCACCCCCCCTCTCATGTGCACTCTCTCTAAAATAAATACAAATATTTAAAAATAAAGATAAACATAGGAAAGTTAAACCTCACCCCGCAGGTGAAAGATGCAAATAACACCCACCGAAACTACTGAGGTCAGCGTAAAGAGGAACAGGCCCTTCACACGGTCTCAAAATACCTCCTGCAGCCCCTTTGTATCCCCAAGAGATAAACCGGTACTTTTCTATGGTGGGGAAACCTGGCAAAGGCCGCCAGAGCCAAAGCATCAAGACGAGCACCCTGCTCTTCAGGATGTGACGTGAAGATGAAGACGCAGCATCGCCTACGACATGCTCCCGCCTCCAACACAGCGCCTGGCCGCAAGGGCCCGGGGCACGCCAGAGGACCTCTAACTGTGGGGCCTTCTACAAACCACCAGCCCATCCTCGCCCCCGCTGGTAACGTCCTCAAAGCCAAGGGCAGAAGAGCTTTACTGATGGAAAGACACTAAGGAGATGAAATGGTGAAATGCACCCTGCGAGTCTGGACCAGATCGTAAATCGGGGGGAAATGCTATGAAGGCCGTTGCCGGCCTGTTATTAGTGGGAGGAACTGAGCATGACCGGTTTTAGGGCATGGTACCGTATCAGCGTCGAATTACCTGGGTGTGAGAAGTGCGCCATGATGACGCAGGATGAAGTTCTCTTGGAGGCCACACTGCCCACCACCAACCCTCAAGTGCTTAAAGGAACTACTTCATTCCCTTGCAAAAAGGAGCGGGAACAGGAAAGGGTGGATGGGTGACAGGGCAAACGGTTAAGAATGCAGGATTTGGGGCAAAGGGTTTGTGGGATGTCCATTGAATCGTTTAACTTGTTAGAGGCTCGTAAGAGGCTCTGCACACGTTTCATTCACCACTCTCTCGTGTCTTCGGCGGGGGGTGGCGGGGAGGGGCGGGGAGGGAGGGCGTAGCTGGCCCGCGGCACCCAGCGTGGAGGTTCCCGATCCCCGTGAGCGTGGTACAATCACACCTCCTGAATGGGTGCTAATGACGTCATCTCTACCCTTTCAATTAGCTTAAGATGAAAGAAATGGTCTTACCCGATGGTACTAGCAAGATCTTCCCAGTCTATTTCATTGGCATCTTCCACATTTATTTCATACAATCTGGGAGAAAAAAAATAAACATTAGGTTGTCAAGCACATATTAGCACGGACTCCCAAACACGACAACTCGGGGGCGCCTGGGTGGGCTGAGTCAGTTAAGCGTCCGACCTCGGCTCAGGTCATGATCTCGCAGTTGGTGGGTTCGACCCCGTGTCGGGCTCTGTGCTGACAGCTCGGAGCCTGGAGCCTGCTGCAGATTCTGTGTCTCCCTCTCTCTCCGCCCCTCCCCTGCTCATGCTCTCTCTCTCTCTCTCTCAAAAATAGGCAAACAGCAAAAGGAAAAAAAGGCAGAAAAAAAAAGCTCGAGGGGACTAGCTTGTTGGTCCCTGTTCGTGCGCAGGCCCGCGAGGGTGGCACGCTAGCCTGAGGTTAGCCCGAGGCCATTTAGTGAGCTGGAGACTGACAGGAAAAGCCATCTCTCCTCCTCCTGGGCCCCTCGCATCTCTCACGGCAAACCGCAGTGTGGACGCACGGGTAAGGGCACGCGTGTGCTCCCACGTGACAGGACTGTGTGAAGACCGTCACATCGTGCTGAGGCCGGTGGGAGGGATCACCTCTGCTCTACGGAGGACGAAGGGGGCTGAGGGCCCGAGCAACTGGGTCAAGGTTTCACAACGGAGTGGCCAGGCCTGCCTACGAGATGGCCTCCTTGGGTCTGCTGGTCCAGGCGCTGCCTCTGGTAGGAGAAGAGAGGCGAAGGCGCCACCGGCCAGGCTGGCACGGAGAGCGGCATGCAGGGCTCGGGGCACAGAGCGGGAAGGATGCGGCCGCGTGGGGCGCCCCGAATCTGAGGTCTCTTCCGCTCTTCGCTGTTACCCGTTCGACATGAGCAGAGCCCGCTAGCCTCGAAGGGTCTGTAAACCAGGCCGGGGCAGGGCGGAGTCTGCGTGGTCCAGGAGCCAAAAGACCAAAGACCAAGACCAAGACCAGGCAACACGCTCACCCACTGAGGCGAGCTGGAGGGCGGCCTGAACCAGTTACCTCCGCTTTCTGACAGACACAAATAATTTCTGGCCACACGAAACCTTTCAAAGACCAGAACATCCCCTTTTATCGAATGCATCGTTCGCTTAACGTGCATTACGTCACTTCTCCTCCCAATAACACCACGGGGCAGGAACTATCACCATCACAAGCCAAGCCCTGGAAGGGCAGGGAAAGCTCCCAAGGTCATACACGTAGGAGGTGCGGAAAGACCTAGCAATCTCGCTGCAGACTTCTGCTGCTGCACGACTGCTCTCTGGTCAGAGAGAAAAACAGTTAGGATAGCGTCACTTCCTATTCCTGTACCTTTCGATAAGGTTGATTTTGGCCTGCAGGGCGTTCACTCCACGGTACACCTCCCGACCATTCGTCATTCTCTTCGTTAGAATTTCCGTCCTGCGTTAAAAGAAGGAAGAATAGGGGCGCCTGGGTGGCTCAGTCGGTTAAGCATCCGACTTCGGCTCACGTCATGATCTCATGATTCGTGGGTTCAAGCCCTGCATTGGGCTCTGTGCTGACAGCTCAGAACCTGGAGGCTGCTTCGGATTCTGTGTGTGTCTCTCTCTTTCTCTGCCCCTCCCCAGTTGCACTCTGTCTCTCTCTCAAAAATAAAATAAAAAATATATTAAAAAAAAAAAAAAAGGAAGAATATACTGCACGTCCTGGGCTAAAGTTTCCACTGCAATTTCCTGCACTTTTCTCCACTACATCAGCCTGATGGAGACCCACCTTGTGAGCTGTGTAGCTCATTGCTGCTAACGTTTTCCACCTTCGCAAATATGCCTTTTTTTTTTTTGAAGTGGGAAACGATACAGAAAATGGCAGGAAGTTGGTGGTTATTGAAATTGGATGAGGGATACGAGAGTTCTAAATTTGTGTGTGCTCTGAAATTTCCCTAGCATAAGCTACAAACAGGAGAAGAGAATCTGAGCCCATCAGCAGGTGCTAACGGAGACTGCAAACTCAATTCAGTTTTGATTGTTTATAAAACTGGGGGACATTGCTGGTGTTACCGTCACCAGCTGTAAGAACACCAAGAAAGTTTAGTAAATGATGCGGTGGCTCCTCTAAGGCCCAAAGCTAATGGCTGAAGGGAAGCGTGCCCGGAGCGCCTAAAGAGAGGGGCAACCTAGGGCGTTTGATTCAATTCCGGCTCAGGTCACGAGCTCACGGTTCATGTCCTGCACTGACGCTGTGGGGCCTGCTTGGGATTCTCTCTCTCTCTCAAAAATAAACATTTTTAAAAAACATTTATTATTGAGAGACAGAGCATAAGCATGGGAGGGGCAGAGAGAGGGGGAGACACAGAATCGTAAGCAGGCTCCAGGCTCCGAGCTGTCAGCACAGAGCCCGATGCGGGGCTCGAACTCACAAACTATGAGATCATGACCTGAGCCGAAGTCAGATGCTTCACCGACCGAGCCACCCAGGCGCCCCTCAAAAATAAACATTTAAAAAAAACCAGAGGGAGCAACAATCCAGCTAAAAATGTTTTTTCAGTACTCATCTCAAATAGCAAGATTTGTCACAATGCGGCAGACCGCTAGCTGCTCCCTTGTGGATGAGGGGGACACACGACCCCCAGGCGAGTGACACTGTTGCTCTTACTCGCAGCAGCCGCGTTCCTCTGACATGCATCATCTGAGGTCACGTCAGCATTATAGGGAGGAAATCTATGTTGCGGTTTCGAATTTCCTGCTTTTCTCCTACAGGAGCAATCTTGCGCGTTACCCTAATTACCCTGACGCTGAAGCACAGCCGGTCTGCGGCGCCCGCCTTTTTAAACCCTGATCGATCATCCTCCAACCCAGGCTTATGAGACACTCCTTGTTTTACTCTAAAACACAGGGCCCGTAAGGGCTCTGGCTCCTTCGAAACGTGTTCTTCGGAGGTCCCTGAGTGTAGTCGTCTAGGAAAATAAAGAGAATCCTACGACATAACAACGAATGGCTTAACCAAGGAGTCTGCTTTTAGTATAAAATACGCCTGCTGGTCTCGCTTTGAGCTGACACAGAGGCCGACTGCGCATGTGAGGCACGTGGGCCATGAGCTGCAGGCCACCGCTCCAAGAGGTCCCGGAGCAGCTGGACGCCCAGCTCAGAGTCCCCTCCAGGGCTCGGAAGAGCCACATCAGGCAAGGAAGGGGCAGCGAGGTCAGGGCCGGGAATGCTCCCATGTGACGAGTGTGTCTGAAGTCCTCGCTTTCGTGAGGGCAGAGGAGCCGCTGAACTAGACTCGCTTCGCCCTTTCCTGCTCATCGCTGTACATCAAGGTTAGTTAAGTGCTAACGTAGATCAGATCCTGATACTGAAGTGGCCGGAACAGCAGAGTGGGGATGCTCGTTCTTGACGCGGAAGGCTTTCTGCACTGGTTACGTGGTCTTCTCACTGTCCTCATCCACCTACCCACTCCACTGATGTGTGTGGCGTGTGGCTGTGAGTACGAGAGAGAGAGAGAGAGAGAGAGAGAGCGAGCGCACGAGCGAGCAGGAGGCAGAGAGGGAGGGAGGGGGATATCTTGTTGAAATTCATTTAAGAAGCCTTAAAACTTACCACTTACTTTTACACTGCATCCAATTTCTGGTTTCTACTTTGGCTTCTACTTCGACCCAAGATATGCCCTTGTACAGATTTTCCCTGACAACAGCCAGGCAGCCTTCTGGGTTCTCCTGGAGTTTAGAATCCACCTCTTTTATCTCGTGGGGAGACATTTTCTTTAGAATCACTTCTTCGACAGCCTTGATTAGTTTCTGGGTTTCCGTCTTACTCCATGGACCGTGGTTTCTTGCTACAGACACAAAAGGATGGCCTCACGGTTGCTCATCTGCTTATCTTCATACACGACATTACACACAAACTGGTGATGATGGATAGGTGTCATCACACGTCTGTCCAGACCCACAGCAGATACGCCACCAAGGGTGAGCCCTGATATCCACTGGGGGATTAGGACGTGTGGGTGTGGGTTCACGGCCTGTAACCAGGGCACCACTCTGGTGGGGGCCGCTGATAATGGGCGAGGCTGTGGGTGTGTGGGGGTAGGGGACATACGGGAAATCTGTGTACCTTCTGATTTTACTGTGAACCCAAAGCGCTCTAAAAAATAAAGCCCTTAAAAAAAAAAAGATACATCAAGACTTTTCACAAGACAGTAGGCAACATCTCAATTACACGAATGTAACACTATCAAGCACAGCTACGTGCAAATTAACGTGAAACCACTACAGTGGCCAAGATTCTTTTTCTATTAAAAAAAATTTTTTTTTAATGTTTTATTTATTTTTGAAAGAGAGAGACAGCATGAGCATGGGAGGGTCAGAGACAGAGGGAAACACAGGATCCAAAGACAGGCTCCAGGCTCTGAGCTGTCAGCACAGAGCCCAACGTGGGGCTCGAACCCACGAACCGTGAGATCATGACCTGAGCCGAAGTCGGACGCTCAACCGACTGAGCCACCCAGGCGCCCCCCGAAATCTTAATTATTATTTTTTACTTTCGAGAAAGAGAGTGCACGAGTGAGAGAGAGAGACAGAAAGAGGGAGAATCCCAAGCGGCCTTCAGCCCCACGACCTTGGGATCATGACCTGGGCCACAATCAAGTTGATGCTAAGTTGACCGAGCCAGCCTGGTGTCTCCACAGAGTCTGTGTAATGTCAGAATAGAACAGTCTTTTCTTAAAGCAACGTGTGGTTTTGATTCTTGCTTCTGAGAATAGCAGCTCCCGTGTGAAACTGAGGCTCTCAAACACTGAATGGGAACCAAACCAGTGAATGGCTCCTATGCTGCCTCTGTAACTTTCCCCACGGGCTCCCAGCAGGAAACTGAGCCCCAGCGGTCCCACAGGACGCGGTGGTAAAGGCACCCGGACCTGAAGCCATCATCTGCGCAGGGCACCAAACCATCTGCGGTTCACCTGCCTCGTCTAGACGGTCTTGGTCAGGCTAAGGAAGAGGCCTCAAATCACCCGCCTACAAAGCTCTTTGGTTTGGCCCACAGAGTGATGTTACCTTTTTCTCAACAATTTGGATGAATATTTAAGAACCAACATAGTTCTGGGGCGCCTGGGTGGCTCAGTCAGTGAAGCCTCCGGCTTCGGTTCAGGTCACGATCTCGTGGTTCGTTGAGTTCCAGCCCTGCATCGGGCTCTGTGCTGACAGCTCGGAGCCTGAAGCCTGTTTCAGATTCTGTGTCTCCCTCTCTGTACCCTCACCCACGCACTCTGTCTCTCAAAAATAAATAAAAACACTAAAAAATTTTTTAAAAAATCAAGACAGTTCAAGGAAAAGAAGAGCTACCTAGACTTCATGCACTCCCAAACCCAGGAGAGCTGGCCACACCGAGGCTCTGCATGGCTCCACGGCTGGATGTGGGGGGACAGAAGCCATGGCTCCCAGCCACCCCAGGGCCACAGGTACCAGCCCCTGGTGCTCACCACGACACTGCCTGAGGGCTGCCTCCTTAGAGCAAGTGGGGATTTTGTAATGTAAAGAATAGGGGGCACCTGGGTGGCTCAGTCGGCAAAGCGCCCGACTTTGGCTCAGGTCATGATCTCGCAGTTTGTGGGTTCGAGCCCCACGTCGGGCTCTGTGCTGACAGTAGCTCAGAGCCTGGAGCCTGTTTCAGATTCTGTGTCTCCCTCTCTCTCTGCTCCTCCCCTGATTACTCTCTGTCTCTCAAATATGAATACACATTTTTAAAAAAAATTTCAAAAAACAAAACAAAGCAAAAAGAATATAACCAAGAAAGTTTTGATGAAATAGAAGAAAAAGAGACAGGAGGTTTTGGAAAAGTCCCTACCCAACAGGCTGACTGAACCACACCCCTGCCTCCCAGCCACCTCCCCTGCCCTCTGGGGGAGGGGCCCTCCTCTGCCCCGGCTCTCCCACGCCCCAGCCTCCGGGGGTCTCGGCCAGGCCGGTGGGTAGAATCGTGCTGGAAGCTACCGAACCCAGGTGTGGCGGAATCAGTCGAACCCAGGTGTGGCGGAATCAGTCGGGTGAGGGGCGCCTGGGTTAAGCATCCGACTTTGGCTCAGGTCATGATCTCAAGATTTCTGAGTTTGAGCCCCGCGTTGGGCTCTGTGCTGACAGCCTGGAGCCTGGAACCTGCTTTGGGTTATGTGTCTCCTCTCTCTGCCCCTCCCATGCTCTTTTCTCATGCTCTCTCTCTCAAACACACACACACACACACACACACACACACACACACACAAACCAAAAAAAACATTAAAAAACTTTTTTTAAAAATCAGTCGTGTGAATAAAGGCTGCATGGTTTCACACCGCACGTGAGGAAATGAAATGACTCGGTACGGGGGAACGGCTTCAGCAGTGAACCTCATGGGACAGGCCTGTGAGGAGGCCCGCACTGGGGCTGCGGGGGCACATCTGCTCGCGGGGCAGGGCAGCAGCGACTGCTGACTTACGGCTGCTGATCTGGGAGAACTTGAGCGCAACGGAGAGGCTACTTCGAGCCACCAAATCGCCAATCTTCTTCCAGTCGTTCCCGTGCAGGGATTGGTAGATCTTTAACTTCTCCGTATCTCCTTTGCTGTACCTGAGAGGGGGGAAGAACGTGTTTCAATTCTGAATTTAGCACGAGATTAAAAACTGTATATTCTTTCTTTTTTTTAGATGTTTATTTCTTCTTAGAGACAGAGGATTCGAAGCAGGCTCTGCACTGAGAGCAGGGAGCCTGATGTGGGGCTCGAACTCACCAACTGTGAGATCCTGACCTGAGCTGATGTCCAACACTTAATAGACTGACCCACCCAGGTATCCCACCAAACTGTATTTTCAGGATTCTGTCTCTCTCCCTTTCCCGTTTGCGTGCAAGTGCACACCCTCTCTCTCTCCCCCTCTCAAAATAAATACATAGATTTTTAAGAAAGAAAAAAAAGAAAAGAAAAAAAATTCTAAGAGCAAATCGTTACCACACAAATTGTGGTACAAACGACTGTATGAACTTTCTTATTGAACTACAGACTTTGTGTTAGGCTAAAACTTTCATTCCCACGCTGATGTCACAGACAGAAAACTGTCACCGCGGCTGCCAGTGTTCATTTACTAAAAGCTTTCTTTCACGTCCTGCTGAAAATGTCCTCTTTAGTGAATATCCTTCAAGTTCTGTCCTCCGACGTCGAGCCCCGGGGCTTGGGGAAAGGGGAGGACGGATTTTAGTCTGCGGGCAACCTTTTCCTCTGCTTAGGGTTTACTTCTTTCTGTCAGAATTTTTTAAAAAGAAACCAAGGTCATGTCAGGGTTTGGGGTTCAGATAATACGTAGATCTTGGTTTCAAGTCGTGCGGCCACCTGGACCCAAACGATGCTGCCAGATTTACTAAATGTGCCTCCCGGAGTGAGGTCAAGTCGACGAGCCGCTGGTTGTCACCCGGGGCCCTCAGAGCCTAACGCCTTCCTGCGCATCCCTCTGTCCCGGGCAGAGCCCTTACCCGCAGCTGCTCCACGCCGGGCGTATCTGGAGTGCCGGGAACAAAATACACTCGGGCATTTCACACGGGGACAGAGGAGAGCGTGCCTACCGCACAGGAAGCCCTGTGCACTGTCGCTGCCCAAAGGCTCTCACGGGACCTCCTGTCAGCGTCTGCCCCACCCTCACACGCTCACTGAAAACCCCCAGGACCGGCCCGAGTGCTGACGGGAACGTCGCACTGAGGAGGAACGTTTGGGGACACAGGCGGCTTATACACTAGCAGAGAACAAAGGAACCTTCGTGAGTCACATGAAGAGGGGAGCGGTGCGCTGAGTGCTGAACAAAGTATAGAGAAAAAGCCAGGGATTTAGAAAGGGGAAGACTGGGGTACCTGGGGGGCTCAGTCAGTTAAGCGTCTGACTTGGGCTCAGGTCATGATCTCATGGTTAGTGGGTTCGAGCCTCATGTTGGATTCTGTGTTGAGAGCTCAGAGCCTAGAGCCTGGAGCCTGCTTCGGATTCTGTGTCTCCCTCCCTCTCTGTTCCTCCTTCTCTCCTCTCTCTCTCTCTCAAATAAATAAATAAATAAATAAATAAATAAATAAATGAGGAAAGACCACAAACATTTACTAAACAGACAGGAACTGAAATGGGCTTTGAAGACATATACTTGACAGCAGATACAGTCTGGCTTCACACAAAATCCTCATTTTTTTTTTTTTTTTTTACCTCTGATCTGCTGTGAATTATATATAATACCACATATATGATCTCTCGTTCTGAGCTATACTGTCAGCAAGCACCAGAGAAATGCTGTGTCTCGAGCTGTTAAGGCTGCTTCTTACCTGCCTTTGTAATTGTTGACGTCAAACATCTTCTTTGCTCGATAGTAAACAAGTTTCCAGGGCCGGGCAATGCCCTTCCCTAAAGTCAGAAGAGAGGCAGGCAGTCAGAGGGGCACACAGGGCCGGGCCAGAACTGGAGTCACAATTGTAAAAGGAAAAACCAGCACAGCCCCTCCCCCTGCCCTCTGATCCGGACCCCATGTTAAGGCTGGGATTTCACACATCCCGCAGAGAGGCGGCCCGAAGAGCAGGTACACGGCATCACCAGCTTCCTTGCAGAGCTTTGAAAGCGACAAGCTTAGGACGTCGCGGCTCCTCCAGCCTCCGGTGTGCCGCGTTCAAGGGAAAAGTTCTTTATAAACTGGAGTAATCTCAACAAGTTCTCAATTAAGAGGAAAGGATGCTAACACATCCTGGCACAGGGCAGGACACATGCCAACAGTTCTTCAGACGATTAACGGGAGGCCTTTCTTAACGAGCGGGCTTTGTTTCCTCACTCTGAGGACCAAAAACCCCCTCAACGGGGGCTCGCTACCCTGCTGCCCCCGCCCACGCCAGAGAATGCCTGAGAAGTCATCCTCTTTCAATTCATGGATTTTTGGGGGTGGAGGGCACCTGGGCGGCTCAGTTGGGTTAAGTATCCGACCTCGGCTCAGGTCATGATCTCACGGTCTGTGAGTTCGAGCCCCGCGTCGGGTTCTGTGCTGACAGCTCGGAGCCTGGAGCCTGCTTCCGATCCTGTGTCTCCCTATCTCTCTGCCCCTCCCCGGCTCACGCTCTGTCTCAAAAATACGTAGACATTAATGATAAAAAAATAATTAATGAATTTATGGACTTTTTTTCCGTCCAACCCTGTTGCTTCATGACTTTGTGTCAGTTTCCAAAAACCCCCGCTAGAAGAGGGTCCTGGCGACAAAGCACACGCGAGGCTGTACTCGGGAAAGTCAGGAGACCCTGGTGCACCTAGGGGTGAGCTCTGTGCAGCACAGCACCTATTAAAGCACGGGGGCGGCCGCCAGCACCATACATCTTGCCCAGCAGGAAAGCTATAAATACATCAGGTCACCTTCTATAATCTGGAAAAGCACTATGCTTGGGGGACATGAACGCACGTTCCAAACCCCCAAAAGGACAGGCCGGCGATGAAAATACAGAACGGCAGCAGCAGGGGTGGGGCAGGAACTGGGCTAACGCCTACCGCGCCTCTTCCGTCTAAGGTGGGAAGGCTCGGGAAGGTCAGGAGGTAAACAGCTGGACGCTTACCAATGTGCAATCTAAAGGCGTATTTTCTTTTTAGGTCGGTGATCACGGATTTCTCCTCTGGGTATCTGTCCGTGTATAGCAGCTTGTCCGCATTCTCAATTCCGGTCAGGGCTAGAAATTCTTGCACATTTTTCTCTAACTGCTTATTTTCCTTTACGGAAAACTTGCCAAATCTAATCGCGACACCTGGGATTTGGGTGGGGAGAGAAAGTATGTGTTTTCAATGACGAAGGAAAAAGCAAACCCACCGCTCGGTCATCAGCAGTTAGAATACGGCAGCCCACCAACTCCCCCGTTGCCGGAAGCAGCCCCAGCTGTGCACTTGACATTGGCTCCCCCATCCCCCGCTGCAGCCGTCGGCTTCCCTGCAATTTTAGCCACTCTTCTCCCAAAGTCCATCCTGGTCATCCCCGTCCAGAGTGACCTTTCCCAGTTCATCAATCTCTTTGGAAAATAGTCATTTTTTATATTAAAAAGGTACATGTCTTCATTAAAAGTTCAAGCAGTATGGAGGTAAACATTTAAAAGGTCTCCCCCCACCCCCCGGGGCGCCTCGGTGGTTCGGTCGGTTGAGCGTCCTACTTCAGCTCAGATCATGATCTCCTAGCTAGTGGGTTCGAGCCTCACATCAGGCTCGCTGCTGCCAGGCTGTCAGCATGGAGCCTGGCGCCTGCTTCGGGTTCTGTGTCTCCCTCCTCTCTGCACCTTCTCCGCTCACACTCTCTCTCTACTTCTCGAAAATGAATAAACATTTAAAAAAAAAGTTGATATTTAATAAAAATATTTTTTAAGAAGTCCCCCTTCTACTCCACACCACCCCTGCCCCCTGCAAGGCAGTGCGATGAACTGGCCCACACAAATATTCACATACATTCTCTGAGCACATATGTGGGGGGGGCAGCAAAGTCAACATCGAACTGTACATTCTATTCCTCTTTGTAACTCAAGGCAGTTACGTTTTATTATATACTGACGGCCTTGTATATAGTACAGCTTTCTCTCCTTAGACTTACTTCAAGAATGTCTTTTATAAAATACATACTCCTAAAAATCTCGACACAAAATACACAAAAGGAATGGGAGCGTTCTACAGATACTGCTGGAAACATAGTTTTCTTCGTTAATTTGTCTACTTTTTAAAAAACTAATCTCTTCGACAGGATTAAGTCCGTGAGGCTAAGGCTCCGCTTTTTACTTCTCGCGGCGACCAGTCTACTAGGCCCCTCACAGCCCAGTGAGTATTGCTTCTCTGATGCACACAGCCTTCCCTTCGTGGCCTCCTCTTCAATTCCGTAACTGTCCCGGGAAGTTCTGGTAACACAGTGAAATCAAGAAGGAGACCACGCCGGGTCCTGTGTGACGCTCGGCTTCCCCTCAACTCAGGGTCGCGGGGAAGGAAGCTACGCCTCATCGAAGCTGACAACAGCCACCGTCCTCATGGTCTTTTACTCTTGGGTCCTCCCCAGGCGTCCAGCCCCTTCACCTCCTCCTCGTCTTCCGGGACCTAGCTGGCCCGCGGGCTCCCCCAGCCCCAACCTGCCACGGTCCCTCCCCGCCTGCCCACCGGAAGTTGGGCAGAGGAGACCCAGGGCCCTTCGTTTCGCTAAGCTCATGGCTCAGACAATTCTGGAAGGAGGCGAAGCTGAAGGCAGCCAGAAGGTGCTCCTGGTGAATCTAGAAAACGGCGTCGTTTTCCAGAACAGAGTCAGGGGCTCCTTATACAGCAAAGCTCAACAAACGATTCAAGTCCCACCAGCTCACCCTGGGCTTTAAATTCCTTGAACCGGTCCAAGTCGTCCCGGTACATCCGCTTGATGGTGGTGGCGGCCCTTTCCTTGATGTCGGGGATGAACTCCTGGAGCTGCTTCACGGCAGAGTCCAAATCCACATCCGAGTCACCCCCGTCTCTCGAATCTTCAGATAAACACCTTGTTTCGGAATCTTTAGCCAATTCCAGATTGCCTTCTTCTTCATTTGCAGGTTCTAGCCTGTGGGGAAAATCAGACGGACTCACATTAGCATATCGCTTGCCCCCCCTCCCCCCACCATCGTGGCTTTCAAATGCTTAAAATGACCCTCACTTCAGACTAGGCCGGTGTTAAAAGCAAGGACGGATGTGGGAGCTGATTCAGTCTGTGACGTCTGGACTCTCTGATGTGATTTTAGGCTGCCTAGAAGGTAAACGTGCTGCCCGAAGCCTAATTTCCAGCAGGCGTTCGTTATTTCTTTTATCACTATTTCTCAACTTTTTTTTTTTTTTTTTGGTTTGTTTTAGATACCAACTTCCCAAAGAAGAAGATGGCTATGCCCTCTGTCTACCCCAAGGGATACTCAACACCTCTCCCCAACCCTTCCAGTGATTTAAATTTGATGATAAATTTGATGATGACAGCGTGGAGCCTGCTAGGGATTCTGTCTCTCCCCCACCCCCGCCCCTCCTCCATTCATGTGGTCGCTCTTTTTCAAAATAAATAAACTTAAAAAAAATGATAGGTATTTAAGCAAAGGGTCAGCAACTTTCAGAAGGCCCACAGCCCAGTACAAGTTCAAAACCACAGTCCTTGAACAAGGCTGTTCTGAAAATAACCCAGATGAGAGCATGTGATAGGGCCACTAATATCGATACCACCTGAAGTGGCTCCCTCTCCTAGTGAACTTCTTTGTGAAACTATTTTAGGTCAGGACAACCTAACAAATGTAAAAAAAAAAATCACTGAGTTAAAAAGAAAGTTCTATCCCAAGTCCTAGGAACTGAGATAAAACCGTTTTAAAAAACTGCTGTATTAGGTGCGCCTGGGCGGCTCGGTCCAGTAAGTGTCCAACTTCGGCTCAGGTCACTATCTCGCGGTTCACAAGTCTGAGCCCCGCAATGGGCTCTGTGCTGACAGCTCAGAGCCTGGAGCCTGCTTCGGATTCTAGGTCTTCCTCTCTCTCCAGCTCCCCCCCTCACACTCTGTCTCTCCCTCTCTCAAAAATAAACATTAAAAAAAAAAAGTTCTTCATGTCTTTAAAAAGAAATCGCTGTATTTATTACATCAGATGGTATACTACATGATAATTACATAAATGATGACATCCACGTTTCTTTTATTAAGGAGAACCCTAATTCAAAGATTTTCCTGCTCTGTAAAAATTTTAAGTTATGTAATCCTTCTGTCTATCTAGATGCATATAGACGAGGGTCATCTGGAGTTCTTAAAATGCCTTTGTAAACTTATTTCTAGAATTTTAGGGCTGGAAGAGCTCCTAGCGAAAATCTAGCTGCCTTACTTTACACACGAAGAAGCTTCCGGCCACGTTACTGGGTTACACGTACGCACTATTCTGTACATCTGACGGTCTACCTCTTCATCATTTCTGCCATTTACTACGAAGGCGCTGGAGAAGGAGGTCACCGGCAGGACTCACAGAGGTCACACAGAGGACACACACATTGAAAGACACCACATTCCCCGGTTACCTCTGCACCTCTTCCAACCAGGCCTGGGTTTTCTCCTCCTGTGGCCTGGGTTTCACACTTTCTTCAACTGAGGTGCCACTATCTTCCAGGGCATCAAAGCGCGTGTCCTCCAAGCTGGCGGCGGGCACTGAAAACTCACCACCAGGAGTCACAGGGCTTTCAACAGAAGACCTTCGCTTCCTTTTCTTAGACCTTTTCTTTACGCTGCTGGCGTCCTGCCTGCCCTCTGCAGTCCCGACCTCACCGAACCCTCCAGATCCTTCAGAGTGCGCGTTCTCCACACCCTTCTCCACACCCTCCGGCCCGGGCGATGTCTCGAGTCCCTGGTTATCTGAAATTCTTCTCTTCCTCTTTTTCTTCTTAGACTTTTTTTTATCAGCGGATGTCAGCAGCTGTGCGATTTTGCCCTCTGGGTGCACACAGAGCGGGGCTTCTGGCTCGTGTGCTTCCGCCTCGGGCAGAGCAAGGCTGGCACACGGGCTTCCCTGCACACCGTCACCGAGTGCCATTGTCTTCCGATGTTTTCTACTCTTTTTCTCCCTAACTTTACGAGGCGGTTCTTTGGATTCATTTCCATGCGACTTAGGAACTGACTGCGGTTCGTCTGCTTCCAGCTCTTGTCCCTTGTTTGTGTCCACATACACCACATCGACGTCCCTCCTGAAGTTCTTTGGCGTGTTCTCGATGTTTTCTTTATCCACCAGCACGTACGCCACGCCTGTTTCCTCATCGACCCCCAAAGCCCTCTGCCTTCTCTTTTTATGCTTTTTGGGTACAGACGTGGCCTTTTCAGCCTCGTCACAAGTTTCTGAGTTTTGCAAAGGGGAAGAAGGAAAATGCTGGAAAGCCTTTCTCTTTTTGCTCTTGGCTGCGCGACGCTGTTTGCTTGTCAGAGGGGAGTCTCCAAAGCCTTCAGGGGACCTCCTGAGATGTCCTTCCTTACATACAGAGTATTTTTTCTTCTTCTTGTCAAACACTGGGGTGTGAATTTCCAGTCTGTTCGATCCTCCTTCCATTCTGTTCCTGTAGGGAAACTTGACAACAATCGTTTATTTTTGCAAAGCGTGTGAAAATTGGCCTTAGGAGAAAATAAAATAAACTAAAAATCACAGAAAAAGGAAATGATACGACAGATGACAAGGCTGGAATCATGACTGTAAATTTTAGATTATCCGAAACACACAGGAGGCTCGCTCTAATTTACGGTCTGGTCCCACTGCCTTTAGGATATAGTGAAGATTAGTTAACAGAGAACAAAAATGCCCAGTGTGACAAGCCTGTGTTCCCCTCCACCCTCATCTTTTACCCCCATGCTCCAGCCACACGTCTTTTTCGGGCTCCTCAAACATTCCATAATCCTTTCCTTAGCTCATGGGCTTACAGCATACGGTACCCGCTTTCTGGAATGCTTGCTCACCCTCCCTGCCTCCTTTCATCCTTCAGAATTTGGTTTGAATATCACTTCAAAAAAGCTTTAAATAGTTAAAAAGAGACATACAGTATGATACTATGTCTGTTAAGTTCAAAACCTACAAAACAATATTATGTATCTTTCCTGAATGGATACATAGTAGCGATCGGCAAATTCTAATTGGCAAATTCAGAGATTAGGGACAAGAACAGAGCCAGTTTCTCTTTTATCTGTCATCTTTTATTTCTTAATTGGGGTAATGACGAGGGGGGGGTGTTTGTGGTATCTTTATTTACACTGATTTGAATGTTTGCCTTTTCACGTAAAAGGCAAGAAGCAGAACAAAGGTACTTTGCTTTCATTTGTGCTTAAAAACAAATGACTCAAGGATGGACATGTATAAATACTTACAAAGGAGGAGGAAGAGGGGAAAAAGAGAGCATTCCCTAACCCCCTAGTTTCGGTGCATTCCAAATATACTTTCATAGCAAACTGTACTTAGCTTTGATAGCACTCGGCCCAAATGTAGTTTCAAGACCAAACAATTATTTAATTTGTTATTTAACGTGAGTCTCCTCTGCTAAAAAAGTTTAAGAAAAAAAAGTTTCCATGCATACATCTCTGGGTGACAACAGGGAGAAAGACCTTAATGAAAGCCCTTAACTGCCTCTATTGAAGGGGAGATGCTGGGGAATCTGGCTTATGGGTATAAACCCATGTGTTCCTTCACATCTTCCCTCCTCCAGCCACACAATTCTCAGTGTCTTCACCACCCACGAGAAGTTAGGGACCCTACCCTTCTCCTAGATCTCAATGGCTACCTTCTGGCGACACCCCAACAATCTTCAACCTCTCCTAACTTAAAACAAACACTCCCCCCCCCCACCCACACACAAGAAACACGGTCCTCTAACCTCGAAGTCCCATTGGCTATTCTCCTTCCTCCCCTTCACAGCACGACTTCAGACAGAAAATGCTCTCCATTTCCTCACCTTCTATCCACTTCTGGAACCACTTCTAAGTAGCTTCCACCCCCTCTCCTGCTCTGAGACTGATCCAGTAGGAGTGCCCAGGGCCTCCAAACCACCACATTCAATAGACGCTTTCCTGGCCCATCTTTCAGGACTTTTTTTTTTTTTTAATATTTTTATTTATTTCTAGGAGAGAGAGAGAGAGAGAGAGAGAGAGACAGCGTGAGCAGGGGAGGGTCAGAGAGAGAGGGAGTCACAGACTCTGAAACAGGCTCCAGGCTCTGAGCTGGCAGTCAGCACAGAGCCCGACGCGGGGCTCGAACCCACGAACCGCGAGATCATGACCTAAGCGAAAGTCGGACGCTTAACCGACTAAGCCACCCAGGCGCCCCAACGGGACTTCTTAATAACAATGAGCAGAGGAGCAGATCATTTCTTTAAATATTCTTTTTCCTTCCTCTCTCCCAATGTTCTTCACTTTCTTTGTCTTAAACACCTCTTAAGCTTCTCCCTCTGGTCCCTGGAACTCAGCACAACATATCAACTACATAGATGCTCCCCAACAAGGCTTTTTGGTTCCCCTGTGATCCCTAAGATCAAGTCCCAAATCCTTACACACCTAGCGGGCCCTTCAGGGTCTAGCCTGGTCCATGTCTAATTCTCCACCTATCATTTCTCTCTGGGTTTGGGACACCCTGCTTTCCGTTCCTGGAATACACACGTTCTTTTTCATTCTCAAGGACTTTCTCAAAGCAACTTCTGCTGTTGATGCTCCTTCCTACGAGTTACCTTTCTCCGCGTGAACTGGGCTAAGTCTGAAAGTCACCTCCTCAAGAAGGCCCCTCTAAGAGCTTGACCGGGCCTCCTCTCCCGCTCTGCAGCTGCCCTCCCGTACTTCGCGCCGCTGTGACACTCTCGGCGTCCCCAGGGCTGGACTCCTGACCGTCTGCTCCCAAAGGTTCCACGGCGCTCGACGCATCCGGACAAGCGTCTGTTCTGCGCACCGATTCGGAACGCACCGCTTCCCGCCCCGCCGGGACGTGCTCAAGCCTGGTCCCGGGCTCTTCCGTCGCTTTGTGGGGGTGCGACAGACACCCTGCTCTCCCTGCTCTGCGGCGGGCGCTCCGGGGCTGAGGAGGGAGGCACCGGCCTCGCGTCCGACGCTCCATGGTCTCCGGCCCAAGACCCACTCGCGCTCGGCTCCCGGGGCCAGGCCTGGGGCGGCCGCGGCGCAAGCCGGCACCACCCCGCCCGCGGAGACTCCGGCCTAAAGCTGCCTCAGCGAGGCGAAGACACCACCACCCGCCGCTCGACCTCTACAGGCGCGTGAAAAAGACCCCGGAAGAGCCGAAAAGCGCTTCCAGCCTACCTCTCACAGTGCCGCCACCTTTCTTCCCATCCGGAAGCGCTGCGGGTGCGGAAGCGGAAGTAGTCTTGCGTCACTTCCTGTCCCGCCTCGGCGTCACTCTGCCATGGCAACCGTCAGCCGCAGGGACTTGGCGCAGGCGCAGTTGACTGAGGGTTTCGTTCCTAGGTTGCGGGGGCGGGGGGGGCTGGGGGCGAGGGAGGAGATGGAGTGAAAGCTGAGGGAGGGGACGGAAGTCCGGACTGGCTTCTCGGCTCGCGCGTGCGTTCCACTTGGTCAAGTTTGGGCGGAGTTCGGTTCTAGTCCAGGAGTGGACTAGGTGGTGGGTTCCCACACCTGAGGAGGACATGTCAAAAAATCAGCCCGGATAATTTCAGGTTGTTCTGCAAGAAAGAGAAAACAGGGGACTGTGCCGGAGAGTGACGGGGACAGCGAGGGCTCCTTTAGATGGAAGGGGAGGCTCTCTGCGGAGTAACAACTGAGCTCGGCTGCAGACTAAAGAGGCGAGCGTGAATCTGAACGGGAGACGGTCCCCGGCTGGACGCGCGGGCAGACGCCCCGCGCCCGCGCCGGGGGAACTGGAAGGTGGCCGGGGCGGCTGGGGCGGACTGAACGCAGGGCAGAGTGGCGGCGGCGGAGGTCAGAGGTGGGCCGGGGCTGCTGGGTTAAGCTTAGACGAAGCTATGAGCAGCCTTGCAGATGTATTCCAATCCTCCCCTTTCAACTGCGTCCTGATGAAACTTGACCTATGATTCAAAGTAAAGCTTTTGACTCGAGTCCAGTATATACAGCACGCAAACGTCTAGACTTATTGAACAGTAAACATAACCATATTGGCAACTAGTTCTTCACTGAATCCTATAACAACATTGTGTGGACATTGTAGGATTATCTTTATTAGGTGTTATCAGCCTCACCCTCTGGATGAAAAAAGTGGTAACTTGTCCAAAGGGGCTTCTGTGGCCCAAGCAGGATTCAAGCCTGTGTTCTCTGCACGACTGTGCTATCCTGCCCCTCCGTGCACCTGCCAGGTGACTTCCTGGCTGTTGAGCGGCCAAGCAGTTTTGATTAAAAGTGCACAGCCTGTATTTCTGTGAAAGTTTGGAAGCGAAGCAGCCTGGAGAAATCATGAGTACACATCACATCACACACCACACACACACACACACACACACACACACACACACACACACACACCACCACCCAATGGCTGCCCCAGGCAGTTGGAAGTCTGCCTGGTCTGCCCTGAAAACGCAGGGTTGGTGTTACCCACGGTTGGTGTGTGTAAGGCCTTGAAGTGCAAGTCTGCTGATTCCCAACTTGGTATAGACATCAAGGGCTACAGGTGCTACTATTGTATCATATTAAGATCCATGGACATGATAATGACATTGTAGTGATGTATGAAAATGTTCTCATTCTTTGGCAGCAGATACATGTTGAAGTGTTTAGGGTCAAATACGATACAACAGTTATTTTCCAAATGATTCAGCAATGTGTGTCTGTGTGTGGTGAATCTAGATGAAATCTATGTGAGTTTTCACTGTACTCTCTTTTCAACTTTTCAGTTGAAACTGAGAAGCTCTTTTTTCAAAATTTAAAAAAAGTCCAAGAGGAAGGAAGGAGATTTTGTTTTTTTTAATGCAGATTCCCAGATCCCATTTCCAGGCACTCTGATTCAGTGAATCTGTATTTCTCAGCTTCCCTCCATTCTGATGCACAAAGCTGGACACGACTGATCTCATTGAACTCTAGACTTTCCTCTCCCACCCATTTCACAGGAGAAAAAACAGGACCCAAGGGGGTGATTCATTCAATATCATCCAACTGGATTAGCAGTAACATCACGCCTGGAATGCAGATCTCTATTTCATCGCGAAAAATTTAGCGCTCTATGCCTGTGTGTGTGTGTGTGTGTGTGTGTGTGTGTGTGTGTGCGTGCGTGTGTGTAAAAGGGAGGAGAATGGGAACCAGCTATGAATGGACTGGGGAGGGTGGAGGGAGGTATCTTCACCTTGGAAGTCAAGTTCACCGCCCTTTGAACACAACGTAGTGGCGATTCTTGAGTTAGTCTCCTTTTTATTTAAGAAAACTCTAAGCGGGTCCACTTTGGTGGCCACCAATAGTTTCCTGAAAGAAAACCAAGCCGGGCAGTTCGGGGGCGTTGGCGTCCGGTCGCCATGGAGAGAGGCCGTTCCATTCTGCTCCAAGGGGTGGTCTCGATCTTCTCTCCTTGCGCAATCCGCAGTGCAGTGCCCAAAAGTCTCTCTGAGGGTCCAGATGGGCGTATGGAGGCCTGTAGCGCCCCTTGCGAGGGGCGGCCGGCGCGAGCTTGGTGCGTCCCTCTCCAGAGAGGACCGGGCGTCCGGGAGCCACCCCGGGGCGGGGTGGTGCGGCCGGGGCTAGCGTCCGGCCCCTCGGAAGTCCGCGCCCGCCCGCCCTCAGGGAAGCGCGCAGGACCCAGCAGGCGGGTCGGCGCCCCGCGACCTCAGGATGCCAGAGGCCCAGAGCGCCCGCCAGGACCCCGCGCGACGGAAGAAGAAGCCGCCGGTGCGCCGCACGGTCAGCCAGATCTGCCCGCCCCCGCGGCGGCCCCTGACCGTGGCCGACATCCGGCCGGGCATGGAGAACGCGAGGCTGGGGGTCGTGCGGGACTCCATGTTTCAGAACCCGCTCATCGTCAAGGTGAGCCGCCGCCGCCGCCCCCCGTCCGCGCTCGCCCTCCCGGGCGCGCACGCTGCCCGCGTCCCCGCCGCCCAGCCCTGGCCCCGCGGCTGGAGCCCCAGCGCAGGGATGGGAGCCGTCGCTCTGCTCCGACGCCTGGACCCCTGTGCGGTCCCGGGCAGGTCGCGTCGGCTCTCTGCGCCTCAGTTTCCTCATCCTCAAAGTGGGATGATAATAGCGCTCATTTAAGGGAGCGATTGGGAAGGTTCAGTAGGGGAGCGGGACCCCCGGCACAGCCCCTGACCCCCAGCGAGCCCACAATGTTGGCTCCTGCTGTTCACCCGGGGGCCTGCCGGTGAGCCCCCAGGGCGACCCACAGGGAACACGCCCCCAGACTGTGTCCTTACTCGCCACCTGCCAGGCTGCACGCCTGCGCTGCTCCTGTGCGGCGAGCGTGCTGTGTACGTCCTGCAAGGATCACTCGACAAGTTACTCTTCACCCAGTCATACTCGCACCCAGAATTACAACCGGAGGGGAAAAGAGCGCGAAAATCTGCCCTGGGGGACTCGGTGTCTAACTAGGTCGCCTCCCCTTTTATCGCACGCTCCCTCCCTTCGGAGTTGGGGACGGTGCTCACCCAGCGCTGGGGGGCTTCCCCACGCCTTCTCAGGGCCACAGAAGTCAAGTTGAGGTTCGGCACGGCCGGGAGCTGGTCAGGGAGCAAGTTTATCTCGCGCCACTGGGGGGCAGTGTGCTTTCAAAAATGCACCTAGTTGCCGGGTGCCGGAAGCGTCGGGCGCAGGTGTAACCATGGATTCAGTAACAATGTATCTGAACGCCAGGAGCTCATTAGAGCGCGGAGGTTTCTGCTGTTGTTTTCTGCTTTTTGGTGCAGGGAACCTGGGCAGTCCTAACGCCGGCAGTGCTACAATTAGCTGAGTTCATTGCCTCCTATGAAAACACTGACCCCTCTCTTGTGTTCCCCAGACTATGCCCCTGGGCCACCCCCCACCCTCGGGGTGGGGGGGTAGAAAGCTTGTTTATCACACTGGCACCTTTCCATTTAATGTGCTCCCTTTCTTAGCACCCCCAAAGTGGAACAAGGTCCTTAACTTACTTCTAGGTGAGACAAGCCACTCTCAGTGGACACACGGGGCTCACCATTCTGGGATCAAGGGGGGAATCGAGTCCTCCGGCTCTGATCAGCTGCTTTGGTGTTAGATCACTGCTTTCACCCAGGCAGGTAGTGGTGGGCCAACCCCATTCTACTTACATATAAAATAAACGGCATTTTGGAGTTATTAGTGTTCTCCACGTTGAAGTAGTAGTGTGTGATGCCCACCCCGAGCTATATACAGCTGACCTTTGAATGATGCAAATTTGATCTCATGCTGGCCCAGTTATATGCAGACTTTAAAAAATAAATACAGTGCAGATCTGTAAATGGGTTTTTTCTTTTTCTCCTTTCTCTAGCTTACTTTATTGTAAGAATACAGTGTATCATATATATAACATGGAGAAGAATATGTGTTGATCGACGGAGGGCTATAAAGCTCCTGTCCAACAGTAGGCTGTTAGTCATTAGGTTTTGGGGGAGGCAGACATTGTAGTGGTCCCATGTGGCTGGCCCAGTTGGTAGAGCATGCCACTCTTGATCTCGGGGTCATGCTTTCAAGCCCCACGTTGGGTGTGGAGCTTACTTTAAGAAAAGCTATAGTTGAGCTTCAACTGTTCAGGAGTCAGCACCCCTAACCCTCTGCCTTGTCCAAAGGCCAACTGTAAATGCACATACGCACATATATGTACATACATACCTATAGGTATATGCGTATGTATATAATCACATGTATTACATGTACATTTATGTGTATATGTATGCACATATACACACATGCATGTATGCATATCATACGTATGTATACCATAAATATAATATTCAAAGATGGGTAAAAATCTGCCCTCCTTCTTTTCCTTCTACTCACCCTGTATATCAAGAAGGACAATATTTTGGCCTCTGGATGGCACTAGCTGAACAGCTTCCAGAATGAATCCAATCGCTGATTCCTTCCTGAACCTGAACCTCAGGGTTGGAAAATGTGCAGGAGATGACTGACCCAGGGCCGGGTGTTCTGTCTTCACGGCAGGAGAGGAAGGGCAGGACTGGCCTGGCCCGGCCCGTGCAACTGAGCCTCAGCAGCAGGGAGTCACTTCCAGGCACCCTCCCGTGATCGTGCCCGGCTCTTCTGGGGTCGGGGACAGCTAGCCTTTCCTTCTTACTTTCCTCCCTCCTGTTCTCCATGGGCTACAAGCTACTTTCTGTATCAGTTAAGATTAGGTCAACATTTCAATATTTACCACTGCTCCAAGATTTTCGACCAAAACCTGAGTAAAAGTCGCAGAGACTTTGAGGGCAATGAGGAACCTTGACCGTTACCTTTTCCGGGGCCCTTCTTACAAATGGGCACACTGGGGCCATGTGTATGAGCTCTTTGCCCAAGGGTCTGGCACAGCCTGGCTTAGAAGCTATGTCCCCTGGCTCCCAGCCCAGCGTTATTTTACCACTCCAAACAGCTTCTTATATTTAAACAAAATTTACTTATTTATTTTAAAGATTTATTTATTTTTGAGAGAGACAGAGAGTAGGAGTATGGGAGGGGCAGAGAGAGAGGGAGACACAGAATCTGAAACAGGCTCCAGGCTCTGAGCTGTCAGCACAGAGCCCGACGCGGGGCTCGAACTCTGGAACCACATGATCATGACCTGAGCCGAAGTCAGACACTTGACCAACTGAGCCACCCAGGCGCCTCTAAATGGAATCTAAATGATGAAAACACTTTGGGATTTTGGCTTTAAAGCTAAGGAAGCTGAAAATATTCAAGGTGGTGGAGGCGAAAAGCTATTTTTTTTAAATATATTGCCATGTTGGGGCTCAACTTGTGGATTTCTTCTCTGTGGCATGCTGGAGTCACAGACTCACGTGTCCAGGCCCCCGCGTGAGAGGGCGCCTTCTTATGTGTGACAGAGGTGGGAACGCCCTCTCCCAAGAGTGTTTTTAGGAGGATGAGTGCAATGGAAGTATATTTGGGTCTCGTCTAAGTCAGAACCTGAAGGTTGCATCTCTATTGAAAAATATACCACCATACAAATAGTCGTTCATTCCACCATATTGGGGGGGGATTGTTGCCCAAATTGTTTCCTCCAGTGAATGGGTTCAGGATTTGTTTAATTTAAAATGCAGACACACTGCCTAACAAACCCAACACTGCTTTTTCACACCCGTGGAATTTACCAGGACGTATGCGCATCAGTTATTCAAGAACATGTCTGCAAGATGCCACAGTAACCAAGTGAAAAGTGAAAAAACGCAGACATCCAAGCAGGTATTTTACCCACAAATGCTCAACAACTACTTGCCTCATTTAAAATCAAGCCCACTGGTTATTAGTGGGACTGATTGAATAAGCTGGGTGTTTTCCATGGCCACAAAAAGAGGTAAATATTTTCCATTAGAGAGGGCTTCTGCTCTATTGTATAAAGTGACGCTCAGCTAGCCAGTTTTCCTTCAAATGTGACTCTCCAGCAAGAATAAAATTAAATAGAGAAAGAACCAAGCTTCTTTCTGCTTGATTCCCATTTCCCCCAGAATTCTGTGACTCAACATAGAATCCTGCTACAATAGCCTTCAAGGCTCCTTCACAGAATCTGTCAGGGTGCACCCTGGCTGCCATTGGAACTCAGCTGATATCCTGTCAATACAATTATAGGGAGAGACTGCTGGGTTTGCTCCACTGACAGCCTTGAATCTTCTGTCGCCCTGGAGAGGCAGGCAATGTACAGGGGTGGAATTTATTGAGTCGAGCACCCTTAGAAAGTGCAAATGATCATGGCATCCGATTTTTTCATAATTTATTACTGACTTTGTTTTTCTGGGGGGTTTATGTCACAAATAAGAAGTGCATGCATTTGTAAAATAGAGTCATAAAATCACATCATTTGGGGCTGGAGGGAGGCTTACAGAAATCTAGTCCAATTTTTTTTTTTTTTTTTTGGTTTGAGGATGTTAAGGCCCAGAGAGAGAAAGAGACTCATCCAAGGTGCCCTCTGACCTGGTCACAGAAGTGGGGTGAGATTCATATCTCTGGACTTCCAGCCCCGTGCCCTTTTGGCCACATTATAGAATTAATTGACAGCAACCCAGATTGGTTACATCTCTACACCAGGCAGTCAACAAATGTTTACCAACGAACCTGATTCTAATGTCATTTTCCTCAACATTCCTTCCCATGTGAGCTCGGCCAATTTCTCGGGATTTATTGCCAGCCAGGAAGTGTTTATTGAATGTTTACTACATGACCAGCACCATCCTAAGCTGCCTTGAGGGGGCATAGAAAGAAGTTCAGAACTCTGCCCTTGCCTTGCCCACTAGCCCCAAGAAGAGTTAACTATTTAGCTACGGAGATGGAGGTGTATGTATATATTGCTTACCACAGCACCTGCCTGAAAGCAAGCTCTCAGGACATTGCTGGGCGCGCGCGCACACACACACAGGCACTCACTTGCCTCATAGGATAAACAAAGTCATGGCATCGCTCCTTGTAAGTTTCAAGTGAAGTGTAAGTTTCAAGTGAAGCTCAGATTCTGATCAGGGGCAGACTAGGAGAAATTCAGCCCTCTGGGGCCAAATGATTTCACCTTCTTCAGATCCTAAGTGTTCAAAGGTTTCCACCCCAGGTAGAGTTCTGGTTTAGGAAGCCAGGCAGTGCTGCCGGCATCATCATCATTACCATCATGAGGAAGCATTCATTTAGAGCCAGTGTGTTCAAATTGGATGCTCTACAAAATTAGGCAACCTCACCATGCCCACTAATGGCTTAACATCTCTAATAAATATTGATGCTGGCGAGCATAAATGCATAGAGACAAGTGTAGAGAAGGCAGGCAGACAAACACACCTGTGTACAACTATCCCAGGGTGGGTCAGTATTTTTATAACTTTTGAGTAAAACCTGAATGTTGCATT